CACATTTAACCCCTCTCACATTTAATCAATTTGTTTAATATTATAATTTTAAATTACACTTCATACCCCTGTAATTATTTAATTAATTTACTTTAAACTCTTTGCTTTTAAAATTTTCATTTTACACATTTATTAAATTAACATACATAATCGTATATCAACTAAAACATGTTTAAAAAATACTTTTTTATTTTAATAAGTTAAACCATTAAAATCGTTTTGTTAATACCTTCGAAATGAGTCAAATATTGAATAGTTTTTGAGTTAATTATATTATTATATATTATATACACTATGAAAAAATATTTTTAATATTTACGATTTATACTTTTATAGCTATTTTATTTAATTTATGATCTATCAATTATTTTTACACCATTATCACTTAATAATATAATATTTTATAAAGATAATAATTAAGTATTCTGTTAAAACTCAATGATTATCCTAATTATATTTTAGATTTTTTATATTTAAAATAAGATGTTTATCCTGTATTTGATTGTGTTTATCTGCAATTAGTTACACGAATTCAGATATGAAACTTCAATAAGTTATACATATGCACAATTTACTTGTAATATTGAGTTTTAAGTATTATGCATTAATAAACAGTACTTTACACATAAAAAGTGGTTTTTAAGAATTTTTGTCAAATGATTTATAATATAAAATATATTTTTTTATATATAATTTAATTTAAATTTAATAATAAAACAATTTATTTTTACAGAAAAAATGAAAAATCCTCAACATATTTTACTCTTAGTTATTTGTCAATCTCAAGTCTATAACAACATAAGATCATAAAAGAAAAAAGGGTTTTCTAACCCCACCCCACCCCCTCCTAAAACATGTTTAAAAAATGAAAAAAGGGGTTGATATCCCCACCTCCTTACGATAACTTATTCATCCCCTTCCTCTCACATTTAACCCCTCTCACATTTAATCAATTTGTTTAATATTATAATTTTAAATTACACTTCATACCCCTGTAATTATTTAATTAATTTACTTTA